GTTTTTCTTCCTAAAACATGCAAGTTAAGCACTCGTAAATGTTAAATAAACATTGATGATCTACTTAATTACAGTTGGAGTTCCTAGACTGTAATTTAAATGCTGAAGTGTTCAGGAAATAGGAGAACTATGCTTTGCAATTTATATAGAAGGACAAGGACCTATCGGAAACTGAATTGGAACTGGTTTCTACGCGATCATTTGTTCACAAGATGGATCATCCTTCCTTTGATATATCCAGCAAAGGTAATTAGGTCATCTTCATGATAAACGTTAAACCCTTTGTTAAACCAAACTACTGTCAACTAATCCTCAAAATCAATGTTAACCGGACGTAAAACAGTTTTTTTTTATTTTACATAAATAATAATTCACGAAAAAATGTCATGAACGTATTAAACCTCGGCCTTGTCGGTGCTACCCAGGGTTGAATTTATGATGTCATACTGATAGTGATATCACAATGACTTATTTGAATGTCCCCTGTTTAGATAAAAAACAAATATAGTGGCAATGTCATCCCGATGTAAACATGTATGTAATATCATATTGTTTCACAAACTTGTTTTTCCCTGACAGGAAGAAAGTTTTAAAAGTCGTATCTTATACCATAGCTTGCGGATTCGTTCAAATAACTTTTAAAATAGCTGTGAAGCACAGCGGTATTCTGATTTTGTATGAACATTCATTTGACATATTTATATTGTTTACATAGGTATGTTTGTCTATTCGTACACATGTAAAGTATTTTAATCGCTTTAGGGATTAGGGAACTCATTTTTCAATATGCCATTGTTTCTGTTTGTTATTAAGATGATGCCTCCAAAAACGTGTATGCAGACCGAATCGAGGCTGGAATAAAGGCATTGCTTTATGGTACCATCTATGCAGGATTGTCATGCAGAAGATCACAACAGAATTGAGAAACTCTGGTTGATATATATTCCGCGAGGCTTTGGGCGTTGCCTACAAGAACGACGACCACACTCCACAGCTAGACATTGTAAAAGTTGTCGCAAGGAAACACGTTTGACACAGCATGGACATGTTATGCCCATAAGACACAAACACCTTCTAATCGGATATATCCTACACTAATACACTTTCAGTTACAAATCGACACGGATTACGTTTCTATGAATCCGCAGATAAATCTAATTGGCCTTGTGTCAAAGTGAGCAGTCAGTCCGTTGAACTTAATATGTATTCAAATATAACGCAAGCGATATTAACATAATTTAAAATTGTTTTGTAACTGGTTTTTGTCGCTAACATATATGTCAAAGGCATATTTAAATGCTATGGTAGGTATAGAAAAAAAGTCCAGGACTCTAAAACATTTTTAAAAGGTGGTGCTACATGTACGCTTGTTCAAACAGAGACGTTTGTGTTTTAAATAATTCTAAGACTGGTTGGGGTATGGGTGAATGTGATTGTAAAAATCAAACAGACTAATGTCAATTGTTCTGTCCATTGTAATAAATCAAACATATACCATATGAAGTGTTTTATTTTTTATTTAATTGTGTACTATAACGATTGCGTAGTGTTAGCAGGACAATTTATTTCCAACAATGATGATACGTTACAATAAGGCCTGTGTATTCACAGGATTGGATGTTATATGAAATGTACAAATCTGTCACACTTCTGGAGGATATAGGTGTACAAGAGTTGTGTCATATGAGTTTATCATGAAAGATGAACAGAAGGCACACACATATTATTGCACCTATTATATTTAATGAAATAAACAGCAAATTACACTATAATAATTAATTAATAATTTGAGGTTCTTATATACCGCTTTATCACAACCACGTTCGTAGGTCGTCTCAAAGCGGTTCACAAATTAGTATCCGTGGTTATAGGGACCACGGAACCAAATTAAAAATAGATTGTGGGTTTTTCCCCTTTGGGCAGAAGATTTAATAGGAAGGTGAATGCATCGGGGCCTGCTGGTTGGATATTTAGATGGCAGAAGTTTTCAAAAGTGTTATGTGTGGATTGAGCAATATATATAGATGTAATATGCATTTTTTGTTTTTTTTTCAAGTATGCTATTGTCGGGGTGAGTTTATTAAGTGTGTAATTTGTTGTACATTTTGGTCGATTTTTGGTGCCGAATTCAATACAAGTTGGCGGCCCCATATAAAAAAAGTTAAAATGGACAGAATTTTTAAATATTTTATTTACATTTGTGTGAGATGATATTCTTCAAAATGAGGGCAGGTAAATTAGTGTGGATAATCCCATTTAACCAGGACAGTGGTAAACGTTAACACTATCGTCTATGGACAATCATTTGGTTATGCGGTCCCTATATGGCCTTTGCCACCAGCCAATATCTTTCTCAACTCCCTGGGGATCATACAGCCGTAGCTGCCATTTCGGCGCTAATAGTTAACCTAAACCAATTCTAGTGCTGCCTAACCACGTACTCATTTACAACTGAGTAGACTAGAACAAGCGGAGTAAAGTATTTTGTTCAAAGATACAACACAGTGCCGTGCGGTGACTCGAACACGCAAACCTTCGGTCACGATCCCGGCGTCCTACCGCTAGACTACCGTGCCTCCCTTCGGTCACGAGCACGGCGTCCTACCACTAGACAACCGTGCCACCCTTCGGTCACGAGCACGGCGTCCTACCACTAAACTACCGTGCCTCCCTTCGGTCACGAGCCCGGCGTCCTACCACTAGACTACCGTGCCTCCCTGCGGTCACGAGGACGGCGTCCTACCACTAGACTCCCGTGCCTCCCTTCGGTCACGAGCACGGCGTCCTACCACTAGACTACCGTGCCTCCCTTCGGTCACAAGGACGGCTTCCTACCACTAAACTACCGTGCCTCCCTTCGGTCACAAGGACGGCGTCCTACCACTAGACTACCGTGCCCCCCTTCGGTCACGAGGACGGCGTCCTACCACTAAACTACCGTGCCTCCCTTCGGTCACGAGCCCGGCGTCCTACCACTAGACAACCGTGCCACCCTTCGGTCACGAGCACGGCGTCCTACCACTAGACAACCGTGCCCCCCTTCGGTCACGAGCACGGCGTCCTACCACTAAACTACCGTGCCTCCCTTCGGTCACGAGGCCGGCGTCCTACCACTAGACTACCGTGCCTCCCTGCGGTCACGATCCCGGCGTCCTACCACTAGACTACCGTGCCTCCCTGCGGTCACGAGGACGGCGTCCTACCACTAGACTACCGGGACTCCCTTCGGTCACGATCCCGGCGTCCTACCACTAGACTACCGTGCCTCACTTCGGTCACGAGGACGGTGTCCTACCACTAGACTACCGTGCCTCCCACTGCACCATTCAACTGTATCTTCCTTCTAGGACTAGTTGGGGATGCTAGCGGCGGAAAGGATTGGATTCCAAATAGGTCTTACATTCTGTTGAAACACATGTGCATAAACCTCTTGATCATATGACTATGAAAAAAAAGCGGAGTACTGGTTAAATTATAATTATAATTAAGTAAAGTAAAGTGTGCACAGGATGAACCATACCAATACTTAAATGAGATAACTGTAACCAACAAGAGAACTTGGACGCCTATCAACAGACTGTATACTTTGTATTTAGAAAGATCCAAGATGTAAATGTGGTTTCTAGTACTTCCACGGTTCTTTACACAAAAAAATATTGTACATAAGACTTTATTTAACAAGATACCAACAGCCACCTTTACTCGCGTAGATTGCCATTCAGTATTATATCTCAAATTGCGTGGCAGCCCTCTACAAAACAGTACCAACTCAAGATGTTGTTATGATTCAATGAAACCAAAACTACATGTACTGTTATATGACGCCTGGCCTCCCTATGTAAACACACGCACACTCAGAAAAAAGCAACAAGATTTGTTATCAACAACCTAAAAACATATGCATACATTTTATTTATCGCTTTTTTAACTTATCAACAAGACATCTTAATGTTTAAATTAATTTTAGCCCGCATTATACGCGTCTAAAATCCGTCGTGTGCATGCTTACTCAAGCCGATATGTCGAACAGCGACGTCACGGATGTGTCCTTAGAATATGGAATGACTGGTTATTATCAAGGCACATTATGTTTATGTAGGGAAACCGAAAGATCATCTATTAGGTCCTTTTCAACAGAACAGAAACAAATCGCTATCCTCTATACTAGAGTAAGTTGCAAGTGGCGAAGCAGGTCAAATCATCCCTGCTCGTCGGCCAGTCCCCTCAGCGACATGAAAATGCTGAATGCTCCAATAATGAGCGAGTCCCGTAGTCACAGTCGGTCGACACAATAATTCATTCAACAGCATATTTTGAATCGTCATCTGGTTTCTTAGGAAACTCTATATTTCACAGATGCAATTATAATTTCCATAACCAACAGCCTCGTGGCCTGATATGCTGAGCCATTGCACAACTGTTGTTTAACGGTCAGCTACCTGCGCGAACAAGAAATACATTTCTGAATTGTAACAAAAATATTAAACAGACTATTGTTATCTACTGATCTATTTCAAATTAAATCCATGCATGTTAAACATGCTGGTATTTAAATTTAAACTTCCAGAGGTGAACTTTGCACCTTACTAACTTGATATAGCAGATACTATAACCAACCTACCATATTAACACACTCTTCAGCAACAGTGATATATTTAGAAGTTGTCTGTATCAAAATCAATATCAATATTAATCAATAATTAATAAATATTTATCGTATTTTTTCCCATTTCATCAACAAATTTGTTTCTCAGATATGACGATGTTCTTTCTCATAGTAGTGGCAGAATCGATGGGTTCGCGACCTAGATACTGATTGTTTTGTTGAGGTGTCGCAGATTTCTGTATTTCTTAGTAGGGGTGTAATATCCAGTCTAGCGGTAAACCTACAATTTCTAAGCAGGACATGGTTTAATTTCATTCAACGAATTATTCGTTTCACAGAGACTTTACTGAACGGTAGAACGTGAATGTGGTTACAGGCAGTGTATATCTCCCAATCTTTTCCCAATAAGCATGTAAAAGGTACCATACTTTACGTATCCAATATAATTCGAAATAAGAACAATATATACGTAGTCTTTGTAACCCTTTTATTGAAATTTGAGTTGTCCGTAATCGACGCATAGCATGATTTAACCAAACTATCATAACTGTGTTTCAATAATAATAAAATCAACCACAATCATGCAAAAAACAAAATCAAACTATACACAAAAGTAGTGACTGTGTTGATTGTAACTATTTTTTGTTGTTGTTGAGTTGTCAGATTACATAGTTCTCCCTTTGTTCCTTGACGCATGTGAAGTTCAATGACATATGACTTCCAATATTTCGTTTGTCTTTCACACGCCAGCCGGAACTAGTCAAAAGGGCCTCCTTGTTTTCATATCCCCATCCCATGCCGTGGCCAGGAGTATCATCTGCTGACAAACTACAAGGGAGACAAATCACCGTGCTGATGGCGTACCCTGCTCCTGCCACGTTCGTATTTCCCACGTTGTCTCTATGGTTACTGTGTAAGCCAGGATCATTAATAGAGGCAACACCGTCGTCCTTCAAGACACGATAAACCTCTTTCATAACACTGGCGGGATCAGGCAGATCGTGAAGAACGTCATACATAATCACCAAGTCAAACTTCTGTGTCCATTCAACGGGCAGCGATGTAGCGTTTAGCGTTAGAAACTTCACGTTTTTGATGCCTTGGGTTTTGGATGTTGAAATTGCGTTTGCTATTGCCATCTCATTGTAGTCAATACCGTATATATTTGCCTCAGGGAATCGCCTGCTTAATGCCCTTGATACATTCCCTGATCCGGATCCTAGATCTAGTATGGTGGCGAGCGATTCTGAAAGTAGCAAGTTTTTTTAAACAATGAACAGTTTTAATTTTACTTTCTGTATATATAGGTTTAATTGTCATTTTATTTTGATTATTATTGTTTGTAAATACATTTTTCAATGTCTTTCAATTGTTAATGATCGTGGAGGTGCTTGATATACCTACACCTTAGCCTGAAAAAAGTTAGAGAAACGTCTTGAAATGAAATGATGTCTTTATGTTTACAGTTTCAAGTCTCAATAACCTTGTTGAGGTCATTATCATGATCACTCGATAACGACAGTCATTATCGTGCGCGTAGTAATACATACACCGTGTACACATGTGTACGTCAACAATCCGGGGGTTGCCGGGGGATACTAGATTTGTACAACTCATTAGTGAATTCATGCAAAAGATACATTGTTAAAATGTATACATACATTGTTTACATTTATACATTCAGATGACGTCACGTTGTTAACAGCGCCCGACTATATGATGATTACTTCACCGACAGACAGGACGGCTGGATTTTGTGTTTTTCTACGTGTTTGTGTTCATTTTTTTACTTTCATGACAATAAAGAGGTTCGAGAAATACGATAGTAAATTCAATTGTGATAATAACGTTCGATACACGCCAATTTTGCCGTAATATTTTCAACTGCACTCGGTAAGGTTGGTATGGTAACCACAGGACGCGGGTTCGATACACAATTAATATAACCTATGTACATGTCATATGCTTGCCTAAATACTGATAGTTAAATCATAGCACATGAACTGGGCTTTGTAATGATTTAAGTTAAAACATAAATTATAAAATTACTTCGTGTGCTTGCGATTTTGTAGACACTATGCCTAGTTACCGTTGCCGTGGAGTCTTAAAACACGGGAGAGTTCCAAAACTGCAAGCCGTTGGTGCCATATTATAGCGTTCCAGGATTTAACGGGACATCTTTAGGTATTAATTATTACTGTTGAGATAAACTGGTAATGGAATGACAACGATATGTTTTTATTATAACAGTTTACGAGTGCGAGTGAAATATTGTATCGGCATTGGGTTACGCAAATTTGCAAGTAAGTTGTGCTAAAAATAGCCGCAAAGAGCAACTTTGAAGAAAGAATTATCGCTAATAAGGTATGATTTCATATTAAAAAACGAACATCCCTACCAATGTGATGTTTATATTGAAGATATGCAGCCGATTTCGTTCGTATAAGTCCTATTTTGGTCGCATTATGTCACAGTGGCCTTTGAAGCATGGCGCGAAGCAAAATCGTATCACTCATTGGGCTTGAATGGAATGAATTCCCCGCGGGATTTATTCCAGTAAAAGAACACGTTTTATTTAATATAAAAGAACAATACTATACATTTAAATATTAACTTTCTTTTTAGTTTAAGTTATCGGGTGATAACTACAATGGAACTTGGGTAAATTAATCATCATCGGCTTCCGATAACCTAAACTAAATAGAAAGTGTATCCTTCAAGCAAACAGTCTTGCTAATGATGTCTGGACATCACCTGGAATGACGATTTAATTTTCAATATACATATAGGCATTTAACTCACATTATTCTTATTATTGTGAATCAGACCATGTTTATGCGCTCTCATTCTATCACCTGTGTACCGAAGCTTAAATAATCGCCTAATGGTTAAATGTACGGTAGAGTTCTAAAGCATTAACTTTTCATGAGAAATGTAAGGATTAAAGTATAGAACGAACAATATCATATAACCTACCTACTAATATGCTGAAACAGTAACATAATAGGTTTTTTTCGTGTGAGTAGCAATAGTGAATAATTATTTTATGCTGAGAGGGCAATGCAAATAAGGATAGAGTAAGAGAGGAGGAGAGAGAAAGAGAGAGAAAACAGTTACCAATACCAGTAATTGATAGACTCATCGCAAATCCTTACCTGTAATGGTAAATTGAATCATTTAGTGCGATATAGGACATTTCAACATCTGAAAAGAGGAATTATCGCCTATTTTACGTGTATGGACCATACGACAAATTATTTTACAAAAGCGGTAAAAGTAAAACTTTTGAACGGAAACAATTTTACAGGCACGAACGGATATACTTGTTAAATGAACAAAACTATCCTATATTTTACTTTTGACGATACAATCAAGTGTAGAATACATAGTTTTCATTGCAAACAGTGTGATGGATCATTACCTTTGAAATCCATTATCGGCACAATGAGCTGCTCCAACGCCTTGTCAACATCCGGTATTTTTTCTTCAAGTACGTCAATAACTTCTGGGGGCATTTCGTCATAGCTGTAGCCTACAGAAGTGTTTTTTATATATATATTATCTAAACTGGTATAACTATGAAAAGCAAATCGTATTACGCTAACATCGAGTATATTACAGCTGTTATATGACTGACTGAAAACGTTTGATGATACATTGATATGATTACTTTGTTAGTTAGGTAGTTGACGGGTTTATCGCCAACATGACTCCACCCATGCGGGTTTTGTCTCACTGAACAAAGGTCGGTGTTCTGTCGGCGTACCATATGAATAAATATGTGTGCGCTTTAAATAATGTTCAGATAACCATGCTGTATAATCTTCATAACAAATGCTTACAGTTACTTTACTTTTGTATCAATTCATCATGATGTTTTTCTGAAGTGTGCATAGCTTGTTAAGCCAGATGTTTTGCTAAAGATATTCGTGTTCGATTTACTAAGGAATAAGACAATTGTAATCGTAGATCTTTCTACTCGTTGACAACATATACTATGGCGTTAGTGTTGATCAAACAGTGTTCAAAAATACTAAATATATATATTTACATTTACTCTGCAGCTTTCCATTGAAAAGCATTGAGAAGGTAACTGTTGTTATGAGACAATAACAACATTTGCTATCGTTACGTCAACAACCTTTATTGTGACGTCATCACTTCCAATGTTGTCAATACCTAATTTGCTGTTCAAAAACTGTCCAAAATAACTAAATAAAGCATAACTACTTTATCAATTACTTACAATTAATTGTAAGCAACCCAAACTTCTGATCATACGCTACAGTATACATACAAAAAGCTCTTGCTGTTGTTAGTTATCAGATATTTACAGACAAAACAACAACCAAAAGCCATCTCAAGCAACGACATTTTCCAGACAAAAAAAATGTTCATCTTAGAATAAAAGTATCTTTTAACTTTTGCAAACCAAATATATTTCGATGATAAATGGACTAGGTCATGAACTACCAGTGAGAAGAAAATATCAATCTAAAATATGTGGTTGAACATGTTCAAATAAGGGATCAAATGACCATAATTTCTATACATCAGAATTCACGGTGATATGTTTAGTCTAATCATTATGACTGAAAACTGACAGAAAAGAAGAAAATATTTGTTCAAATTTGGATGGAATTACTATCTAATCAACAGAGAAGATGTTTGGAAAAGATTCGTTGGTTTATTCCTTTTCAAGATGGTCACCAAAACATTTATTTTACTGCCCAATCAGTTGTCAGATCCCAGACAACTTTCTTGCGATATCAATTGATTTCAGAAATTGTTTGTTAATTACTTTGTTTTTATATATATTTTAAAGTCAGACGTCCTATTAACAGCTAATGACAATTACAGATGCTGTTTTGTAAGATGCAAGGTGTTTTCTTTTAAAGTATGGAAGTAAACTTTCTTTAACTTATCCGTTTTATTCAGAAATGCGGTTTAAGTTACCCCTTTCCCTTATTTTTAAATGAAAAAGTAATTTTTCACATTTTTTGTCGACTTAGCGCTTGATATGAAAAGTGTGTGTTATTTTTTTTTTTAATATCAAATGGATCAAAAGAAAATAAGAAAATATGTTTTTTTCTAAAGCAGCTACATAATTGGTGGACTTCATTTGTGTTCAAATTATTATTTGTGTTATTCTTCACCTTTTTCAGGGTCATAATCAAAAGTGCTTCAGAAACACTAAAAATAAAAATTATTTCCGGTTTTTTATTCTGTTGCTCATTGTATTCATCATATTGAACATTATAAGGTTGAAGCGCAAGAAGTACACATGTTCAAAGCGGCGGCGGAATTGGTCTTTTTTTTTTAAATTCTTGTAAAAAAGTTCTACAAACAAAAGTCATCTTGTTTTTATACTTTTATTCAGTTGCGTGTTTGAACGTGATTTAAACCTTAGATGAGTACATTCTTAATACTGTTGATTTCTATTACATAACATAACAATTAAAGTCTGTATTGCCATATCAGGTCTATGTCTGTGTCATATTTCACATGACTTTGAAAATCGAGTTAATCAAAATGTATGTGAAAAAGTAACGATAATAATAATGCTTATCATAAATAAAATACTTGTTTTATTTTTAACATAGATATATCGATGGTTATTATACCTCTAGTGAAAATCCTGTTATCTAATTGGTTGAGACAAATTGTTCATTTGACTCTGTCAGGCTCACTTTAAAATTGAGTCGATAGAAGGATGACTCCAAACGCCCTAGCAACGGGCGAAAGTGTGGTATGAAAATGCAAAACTATGGTGGCTGATATATGACATTTCGTCTTTTCGCTTTGTCGCCCGCGAAATAACGCCAAGCGAAATAACGAAATAACGAAATAACGCCAAAGCGCCAAAGCGCCAAAGCGAAAAGACGAAATAACGCAAAAGCGCCAAAGCTAAATAACGAAATAACGCCAAAGCGCCAAAGCGAAATAACGAAATAACGCCAAACCGAAGTGAAAATAACGCCAAAGCGAAGAGATAAAATGGCGTCTTTTCTCCCTCTTTTTGGCGTTATTTCGTTATTTAGCTTTGGCGCTTTGGCGTTATTTCGTCTTTTCGCTTTGGCGCTTTGGCGTTATTTCGT